TCCCCCTCTCCCCTCTCTCACTTCCCTCTTCCCTCTCCCCCTCCATCTTTTGTCTCCCTCACCTCACTTCCCCCTCTCCCCTCTCTCACTCCTCCCCTCTCCCCTCTCTCACTCCTCCCTCTCCCCTCTCTCACTCCCCTCTCCCCTCTCTCACTCCCCCTCTCCCTTCTCTCACTCCCTCTTCTCTCACTCTTCTTCTCCCTCTCTCACTCCCCCCTCTCCCCCCTCACTCCCCCCTCTCCCCTCTCTCACTCCCCTCTCCTCCTCTCCCCTCCCTCTCTCACTCCCCCTCTCCCCTCTCTCACTCCCCCCTCTCCCCTCTCCTCACTCCCCCCCCCCTCTTTCACTTCCCCCTCTTTTGTCTCCCCTCTCCCTCTCTCACTTCCCTCCTTTCTTTTCCCCCCTCTATTTCTCCTCTATCTCCTATGCTGTCTCCTTTTTGATCCGGTTCCTCTCTCTCAACCTCACACTCCTTTACCATCTCTATCCCTGTCTCTCTCTCTATCTTTCTATATGTCTTTGTGTCTGTTTCTCTGTATGTATATCATCCCCTCCCATCTCCTTTCATCCCTCTCGCACGCATCCTCTTTTCCCTTTCTCTTCTCTCTCTCCTCTCTCTCTCTACTCTCATATCTCTTCTTCTCTCTCTCTCTCTCCCTCTCTCTCTCTCTCTCTCTCTCTCTCACCTCTCTATCTCCTCTCTCTCTCTCTCTCTCTCTCTCTCTCTCTCTCTCTCTCTCCTCTCTCTTCTCTCTCTGTCTCTCTCTCTCTCTTCTCTCTACCTCTCCTTCATCTCCTCTCTCTCTCCTCTCTTCTCTCTCTCTCTTCCTCTCTCTCTCCTCTTCTCTCTCTCTCTATCTTCTCCCCCTCTCTCTCCTCCTCTCCCTCTCCCTCTCCCTCTCCCTCCCTCTCCCTCCCTCTCTCCCTCTCCCTCTCCTCTCTCCAACTCTCTCTCTCTCTCGTCTTCCCTCTCTTCTCTCTCTCTTTCTCTTCTCTCTCTCTCTCTCTCATCTCTTCTTCATCTCTCTCGATCTGTCTATATCTCTACTCTTATATATATCATATTAATATATTAAATATAATATATATAATTATATATATATATATTATATATATATTATATAAATACTATTTATATATGTATTATATTATATTATGATTCATATTATAATAATTATGGTTATAAGTATTATAAATTATATATTTATTATTATATTTTGATTATATATATATTTAATATATATTATAAATATTATATTATAAATTATTGTATTTAATATAATATTGTATAATTATTAAAGAATTTATATTAATAATATTATGTTATAGATATTTAATAATATTATAAATATTATAATTATAAATAATTAATTTATAAAATAATTATAATTATATTATTTAATATTATAATAATATATTTATATATTTATAAATATTCAATATTATAAATGTAATATTATATTATAAAATGCAATATATTATATATTTAATAATATATATAATATTTAATATATATTATATTATAATTATATTATAATATGTATGTGTCGTGTTGTTAGTGTGTAGTCTTATCTAGTTATCTTTCCTTTTACTGCACAGCACTAAAATTTATATATATATACCTTTTAAAATTCGCATTAAAATGATATAATATATATCTATACGGGCGTATGCTTGAAGGCAGAGTGGCCCAGTTGCGCGCGTCCTCAGGAAAATAACTATCTACGTCAGTGCCGCCATGTGTTTGGGAAGTATTTCATTTACAGTGACATACATATTTAACATATATTCCATGATAGATAAATATGCATATACAATATAATTTATTACTATTTAATACTAATCTATCTAATCCCCTGTTTTTTCTCTCCATCCGGTCGATCAGTTACGTTCATGACTCCAGTGAGGTCCTTATGAGGGGGGGGGGGGGGTGACGGAACTGGAGGAAACTTAGCGCCTCGTAAGAAGGGTAAGACGGAGCTGTCACCACTTACTTATTTCTAAAATTTTGGCTTCTTGCAAGTTCTTTTGTTCTTTTTTTCTGCTTTGCTTTCTCTTCTGGCTAGTCATCCTGTTTCCTACTTCCTGAAACTCACACCCTGATGTTTGTCCTCCATTCCGGTCGGGCGTCTGGTCATGCTCCTCACAGTTCATTTCCCCTCACTTCTGTGTCTTCCATTCCTCCTCCTTCCTCCTTGTTTTCCTCCGGTTCCTCTTTCCTTCCTTACTCTCTCTCTCGTGCGAGGGCCTCGCTTTCTCAATTGTCTTCTCTCAACTTACTGTCCCCTTCATTATGTCCGCAGGCGAGGAGAGTTCGGACGGCTTTGTGCGCGCGCGCCACATGTGGCGATACTATCCTCCTCCTCGCGCTCATCTTGGTCCTTTTGCATTCTCAACCTACCTCCGCCAACTTCACCCTTCCTTCCTCTCTCCCCTCTCTTCATAACATGCCGAGTCTGTTTTTTGCGCATAAACTGCTTCATACCTCGCCCGTTCTCGTCAAGCATTCCCGTCGCGGCTCTATATTTTTTTCCTTTTTCAAATGAAAATTGATAAAAATTTAGGAGAAAATAGTGGAGAGAAAATACTCCAAAACCTAAGGAACAAGACAATGCAACGTCGTAGAAGAGAGGGGGGGGGGGGGAAGGATAAGTAGAGGGGGGGCGGGTGGAGTGTCCACGCAAGTGATTGCAATGTTGGTACAAACTCGAAAAATTTACAGGGAAAGACTATCTATCTTCATCTCTCCTCGTACTCACGGCCCTGCCCTCCTCCTCCCCTCTTTCTGCATTTGCAAGGAACGCACATCACGTGTTACCCGGGTCCGCCCATCTCTTCCGCCGCTTCCCCCGTCCACTTGTCCCTCCCAACTTCTTCTTTCTCCTTCCTTTCTTTTTCCTTTATACCAGTACTCTCCTCCTGCTCAGGCTCCTCTTCCCGCTCTGGTTGTGTAACTCTCTCTCTTCTCAGCTCCTTCTCGCCTCTACCTCTTGCGCGCTAATTTTTTACCTTCTCTAATCTTTCTTAATTTGCATGCCGCAGGACCTTTTCGCTCTCTTTTCCTCACCTTCGTGCGCAGCCACTCGTGTCGGTTGACACTTATATTCCTTACTCTCGCTCGCTTGTTGATTGCACCTATATAGCTTCTCCCGCCTCCTGCTCCCCCGCCTTTCCATCCCAGTTTTCCTTTTCCAATCGCGCCTCGCATCGTTCTCTTCTAACTTTGGCTCCTCCCTCCTCCTCCCTTTCCCCTCCTCCTCCGCCCTTTTCCCCCCTTCCCATCCTCCCCTCCTTTCCTCCCCTCCCCCTCCCCTCCCTCCAAGTCACCCTCCCCTTCCCCTTCCCCTCCTCCTCCTCTCCCACCCCTTCCCCTTTCCCCCTTCCCCCCTCCTCCCACCTTTCGAACGTCACTTTCTTCTTCGTACCCGGGAGATGTCTAGGGGGTAGAGGGGATGGGGGGGGGTTAAGGGTGTGTAAATACAGTCTGTATGCTTATATATGTTTTTTTCTTCTTTGTCTTCTTTTTCTTTTTCTTTTTTTTTGTACCCGTTCCGTACCCCGTGGTGCGTGATCGTACCCAACGACACGAGGCCATACCCACGCGCGCGCAGGGCTGGCTTTTTCTGGCTTTTTGCGGGTCAGCGTGGGGGGGGGGGGCGCGGAGGAGGAGCTGGAGAAGGAGCGGGTGCTGCTGTTATTGGGATGATTTTGAAATCGTATTTGGGTTTCATTTTTATTTTTTATTTTTTTTATTACTTATATTATTGTTTTTATTGTTATTATTATTTTTTATTTCTATTATTGTTTTTATTGTTATTATTATTTTTTTATTATTATTTCTATTATTGTTTTATTGTTATTATTTTATTTTTTATTTTTATTTTTTATTATTTTATTATTATTATTATTATTATTATTATTATGGATGTTAATCATCATCAACATCATCACTGTTATAATGATAATGATGAAGATGATGATGACGATGATGATAATATGTCGATGATAGCGAAGGGCCAAGGCGAAAATTTCTTTCCGAAATAGAAGAAGAAAGATTAATTATAATAAGAAGAGTAAGAAGGAGGAGGAGAAGAAGGAGGAGGAAGAGGAGAAGAAGAAGAAGAAAAAAAGAAAGAATAAGATCTGGGCGCTCGATTCTGTTTCATTCCGTCTCCGAGTTCGAAAGGTCTGGCGCCGAAGGACCGGGAAGAAGGGAGGAAGCAATTGCCGGAGAACGAGAAGAAACGGAGAAAGGGAAGCGTGATTTGGAACTGCGCGTTGTATATCCCTTGTTTTTGTTGTTGTTGTTGTTGTCATAACGCGGCACGGACTTTTCAGCCCCGATTTTTTTTTTCTTGTTTTACTTTTTGTGCGATTATGAACATACTACTGAAGGGGAAGAACTGGGAGGAGGAGGAGGAGGAGAGACGAGGAGACGACGACGACGACGAACGACGAACGACGACGAAAGAGTCTAAAAAAAAAAAAAAATAAATAAAATACAGATAATGCGACACGTGGACACGGGTCAGTCGCTGGCTACGTCGTGCGGCCGGTTGGTTGCGGTTGTGCGATTCCCGACCTAATGAATATTCGTCATGCGGACCTACATAAACGCTGAAATAATTACATATCTATCAGTCTAGACATGCGTATCTACCGGATAGATAGGAAGATGAAGGTATGTCTATCGGATTGGTTGACAGATATACCGACGCGACCTTTGAGAGTTTGCAAGGGACGGGTCGGGATTGTCAGGCTGGAGGGAGGGAGGGGGGGGGAGGGAGAGAAGGAGGGGTTGGCGAGGGAGGAAGGGAGGGAGGGAGGAAAAAGAGAGAGAAAGAATAGGAAGAAAGAAAGAGGGGGGAGAAAGAGAGGGATGAGAAATAAATAAAAATGAGTTAGGAGGAAGAAAGAAAGAAGGGACGGGGGAGGTAAAGAGGAGGGAAGAAATGACAGGGAAGGAGAAAGAGAAAAATACAGAAGCATCTGCTGCGCACCCACCCAGGCGTCATCCCTGCATACCCTTCAGTCACGAGGAGTGCACGCCCGCGAGGGAGGCCGATGGGCGTGCGCGTGCCAGGCCGTGGGCGTAGCACGTGGGCGGGCAGATAGAAGCTTGTGGGCATGACGCGTGAGCGGACTGATGGATGCTCGTGGGCGTGTGGTGGGCGGGGCAAGTGGGCGGCATATAGATGCTCGTGGGCGGGGCAAGTGGGGGCCATATAGATGCTCGTACTGATAGATTCTCGTGGGCGTGTGGTGGGCGGCGGGAGTGGCGGGGCAAGTGGGCGGCCATATAGATGCTCGTGGGCGGGCAAGTATATAGATGCTCGTGGGCGGGGCAAGTGGGCGGCCATATAGATGCTCGTGGGGGGGCAAGTGGGCGGCCATATAGATGCTCGTGGCGGGGCAATGGGCGGCCATATAGACGTGGGCGGACTGATAGATTCTCGTGGCGTGTGGTGGGCGGGGCAAGTGGGCGGCCATATAGATGCTCGTGGGCGGGGCACGTGGGCGGACTGATAGATGCTCGTGGGCGGGGCACGTGGGCGGGCAGATAGAAGCTCGTGGGCGGGGCACGTGGGCGGGCAGATAGAAGCTCGTGGGCGGGGCACGTGGGCGCGTGTGTCACGGTGGATAGGAAGGTGATTTTTTCCAGGCCTGGTGTCTGGTTGTAAGGAAGATTGTGCCATTTTTAGATTATTTTCTGTGGATTATTAGGTCTTAAGCGTAGTTAGCATTTAGGTTGATAATTTCTCTCTCTCTCTCTCTCTCTCTCTCTCTCTCTCTCTCTCTCTCTCTCTCTCTCTCTCTCTCTCTCTCTCTCTCTCTCTCTCTCTACGTCGTGTATCTTTTATTGTGTCATATCTGTCTATTAGTCTATCTATTTACCCATCCATCGATCTGTGTATCTATCTATCTATCTGTCTATCTATTTGTGTATATCTGTATGTATATCGGTCTGTCTGTGTATCTATCTATATCTATCGATCCCTGCATCTATCCATCTATATATCTATCACGATACGTGACTGTATGACCCCTTATCTAGCCATCTATCTATTTGTCTGTTGATCATCTATCTGTATATTTGTCTGTAATCTGTATGTATATCGGTCGGTCTGTCTATCTGTCTATCTATCTGTCTATCCATCCATATATCTATCTATCCATCTATCTACCTATTTATATATTCATCCATCTATCTATCTATCCATCTATCTACATATCTATATATCCATCTATATATCTATCCATCCATCTATCTACCTATCTATATATCCATCTATCCATATATCTATCTACCTATCTATATATCTATCTACCTATCTATATATCTATCCATCCATCTACCTATCTAACTATCTATCTAGCTATCTACCTATCTGTATATTCATATGTCTATCCATCCATCTATCTACCTATCTGTATATTCATGTCTATCCATCCATCCATATATCTATCCATCTATACCTAATCTATTATCATCTATCTACCTTATTTATCCATCTATCTACCTATCTATCTATCCATCTATCTACCTATCTATCTATCCATCTATCTACCTATCTATGTATTCATCTATCTCTCTGTTAGACAAATGCCTTTCTGGCGCTGGCGCTCTCACGCCGGCCAGTCACGTCATCGCCAGCCTACGTGACTGTATGACCTGTTGTGCTGACAGCTTCAAGTGACTCCCTTTGTCGCGAAGAAGCATACAACGACCTCCTCGCCCCCTCCTTCTCTCCTTCTCTCCTTCTCTTGGGCCTCCTTCCCTCCTCCCTCTTTATTTCATTCCCTTTCTCCTCTTTTTTTTCTTTCTTCGTTTTTCTTGTTTTTTTCTTTTTTTCTTTATTTTTCTTCCTCACTTTTTTTTCTTTTTCTCCTTCGTCTTTCTTCTTTCCCTCCTTCCTCTTTCTTCTTTCTCTTTTCCCTTTTTCTGCTTTTCCTCCTCCCTCCTTGGTTCGGGTTCTTTCCCTCTTTACTCTCCTCCTCTTCTCCCTCCTCCTTTCCATGTTCCCTTCCTCCATTCCGACCTTGCTTCTTTCCCTTCCTCCATTCCGACCTTGCTTCTTTCCCTTCCTCCAGTCCCTCTCTTCCATCACCCTTTCTCCCCCTATTCCCCCTTTCCCTTTCCCCTTCTTTTTCTTCCCCTTCTCCCTTCTCTTCCCCCTTCTCCCTTCTTCCCCTCCCTCTCTCTTCCCTCCCCTCCCTCTTTCTCGCCCCTTCCCTCCCTCTTTCTCCCCCTTCTCCCTTCTTTTGGCGTTATTGGTACCGGTTCAACAAACAGAGGACTATCTGTACTGGCTAGTCGAAGAGGGGGGGGGGGCGGTCCTGTTCTTTTCATAGTCTTTTTGCATTAGACTTTCTATTGTCTGTGGAATCCCTCGTGTTATTCCTATTTTTTATCTCTATTTTCTCCCGCTTTCATTTGTTTCTTCTTTTTTGGTTATTTTCGCTTTCATTTTTTTCTGTTTATTCGGGAAGACCAAAGTCCGCCTCACTCATCTCCCTGTCAGCTGTTCGGCCATCAGTCGACGGGTCCTCTTTACGCCCTCTTCGCTGCCAGTCCCTCACTCTTTCTCTTTCCCCCTTTATCCTTCGCCCTCTTTGCCCCCCTTGTTGTTCTCCCGTTATCGGCTCTCGTCTTCTCGTCCGTCGTCGCCCTTGTCTCTCTCTCCGTCTAAGAGGGTGCGAAGGGGAGGAGAGAGGGGAAGGGGGGGGGAGGGGAAGGGGGTGCTGGTTTGAAGCCTTCTTGTTCTTTGGGTTTCGTTTTGCTTTGTTGGTTTGTCTTTTCTGGTGGTTTCTCCCTCTCTCTGGTTGATTCTCTCTCGGTCTCTCTGTCGGTCACTGGCTCTCTGTCTGTCTCTGGCTCTCTGGTGGTCTCTGTCTCTGTTTCTGTCTCTCTCTCTGTTTCTCTCTCTCTGTCTCTCTGTTCTCTCTGTTTCTCTGTTTCTCTGTTTCTCTGTTTCTCTCTCTCTCTCTTTCTCTCTCTCTCTCTCTCTCTCTCTCTCTCTCTCTCTCTCTCTCTCTCTCTCTCTCTCTCTCTCTCTCTCTCTCTCTCTCTCTCTCTCTCTCTTTCTCTCCTCCCCCTCTCTTCTATTTTTGTTCGTTTGGCTGTGTCTGCTCTGCTTTATCGCCATTATACTTCATCCTCTCCTGACCTCGACCATCTTCGTCATCGCCATCTTG